GATGAGCGCAGCCTCACGCGCATCGACTACATATTCGGCTCCAGCACGCTCCCGTTCCTGGCCACACAAGCCAGGATCAAAGAGTACAAGGACTCGGACCACCGTGCGGTGTGCGTCAGCTGCATGGGCACCAACGACCAACCACGGCCTGCAGCCAAGTACAAATTCGATGCGCGCCTGCTGCTGGACGCCGATTTCACCCACTACTGCGAGAGTGTCCTCATCAAGTTCGCGCGAGACGGCGCTCCGGAAGCTGGATGGGATCTGGCGAAGAAGCAGATCATGAGCCGCGCTCGTCAACTGAGCACCGACCGTGACCAGAACGCCAAGAGACAGCAGGAGTTACTTGAGACGGAGCTTCGCATGACGGAAAGAAGTATGGCAGAACTACGGATCCAAGGTGGCAACACCAAAGAGCTGGAACGCTGCAGAACACGACTGGAAAGCGAGCTCCACGCACTGCTGAACGAGCGCGCCGAGGCCGCACGCATTCGAACGGCGCGGAGATGGCGGCTCGAGAACGAACGCAACTCCAAGCTCTTCTTTTCACTCGAGAAGGAGGCGCAACGGGCACTCACCATCCCCAGCCTGAAGGTAGGCGACACGGTTGTCACCGACCCCGTCGACATCCTCAAGGCGCAGCGCAGCTTTTACCAGACTCTGTACGCCAGTGAGCCGACCGTCCCGGCCGCCCAGGAGGAAGTGCTTCATTGCGCCTCGCCTTGTGAGCTGCTGGACGCGGAAGACCACGAGCGTATGGGCGCTGACCTGACCGCAATGGAGCTCCGAGAGGCGATCAAAAGAACGACCAAAGGCAAAAGCCCAGGCTCTGACGGGCTGACGCCTGAGTTCTACCATCACTTTGAAGAGCTGCTGGCCCCGCTGCTAGCTACCATCGCGAATCGGTCAATGCGAAACGGGCGACTACCTGCATCAATGTACATGGCACACATCAAGCTTCTGTTCAAGAAGGGCAACCGAGACGAGCTGAAAAACTACCGGCCAGTCTCGCTGCTCAACGTGGACAGCAAGATCATTGCACGCGCGCTGGTGCAACGTCTTCAAGCTGTTGCCAACGACATTCTCCCCACATGCCAGAACGGTTTTGTCCTAGGACGCACGATCGACAACTGCATCCACCTAGTGCGCGACGTGCTCGACCTGACGAAGGAAAAGCGCATCGGAGGAGTCGCGGTGCTGCTGGACTGCGAAAAGGCCTTCGACCGCGTCGACCACGGCTTCCTGTTCCAGGCCATGGAGCGATATGGGATTGGAGAAAGATTCTTGCACTGGATGAAGCTCCTCAACACGGGATGCCAAGCCTGCATTGTGTACCAAAACCGCATCTCGGAGCCCTTCAAGATCGAGCGGTCGGTGCGTCAAGGATCGGTGGAAGCGCCAGCGCTGTACGCGCTGTATGCATGCTGCGTGGCGGACTACCTCTGCAAAGGGGCTGGCCTGCGCTTCCTGCGCCTGGACCCGAACCTGGCGACCGAGGTCACCCTGTTTGCCGACGACACGACGGTTTTCCTGGAATCACAGAACGAGATACCGAAGCTGATGGCGGCCCTCAAACGAGTAGGGGAAGCGACAAACCTGAAAGTTAACGAAGAAAAGACGACAGTCATCAGACTCGGGCGAGACAAGCGCCAGACTCCACTGCAAGCGATCGCCCACCTCGACTTCCTGCCACCTGACAAATGCACCAGAGTCCTGGGCGCAATGTTGGGCTATGGCGACCGCGAGGAGGCAAACTACAAAGAGCTGCTGGACAAGGTGAAGGCTCAGCTACTGCGATGGAACAGCAGGGGCTTGTCGATGCCGGGCAAGGTGGTCATCGCGAACGCCATCGGGCTGAGCAAGGTCTGGTATCGGGCAAGGTTCACTCCACTGTGCGGTCACTACCTGGATCGGCTCAAACGCATCATTCTGCGCTTCTTCTGGCCCACGCGCTTCAAAGCACCCGCAACACTCGCAACGCTCTGCGCAAAAACTGGCTCGGAGGCTTTCGGGCTGGGACTGCTTCCCATCGACCAACACTGCCAGGCGCTGCTCGCCCAAGCAGTTGCGAACTTTTGCCTGCCGGCCGCCTCGCTGTGGAAAACAGTGACGCAGTTGCTGTGGAGGGCGGCGGACACGCACGACGGCGAGCCAATCGGCGACAGGCGGCTGCTGCACTCGAAACCGGGCATCAAAAAGGTCAGCCATTTCTGGGGCCGAGCACTCGCTGCATGGTACAAGCTCAAACCCGCGCCACGCAGGCCCAACAACCGAATCGAGGCCCTGACTTTGCCGCTGTGGAGCAATCCACTGGTGACGGACGACGGCAAGACGATCAACTGGCCATCCTGGATGAGAAACGACTACAAGACGGTGAGCGATCTCTGGAACTTCAAAGAACAAAGGTGGGCAACGCCGATGAAATCAAGGTTCCAGGGGCACGCACAGCAAGCTAACGCGACTGCTTGAGGCTCTGCGAGACTCGGGCGTGGAAGAGATTCTGTGCAGGGAAGTCACGGAGCCGGACGACTATCCCTGGTGCTCGACAACGACGAGGGCTGGTAGCACACTGCTACACGAAGTGCTGGCAGTGAAGAACACTAGCGAAGGCACCATGCTTCTGCTACGACGTCATGGCTGGTCAGACAACAACATCATCGCACCCTTCCTCACGACGAGTTGGACCAAGCTAACCGCCACAAGACCGCTGCTCACGGTGAAATGGGTCTCACACAGCGCAAAGAAAACCCTGCTTGCCAACGGCAGGTGGAAGCCCCAGGCAACCGATACGTACTTTGTCGGCTACGGTTTTGACGCGTGGATCGACCCGAGTGTGCTGATGCTTCATGGGCAAGGCCTCACACCACTGCCAGTCGTGCACAAGGATACAACACTCAAGGCCATCCGCAAGCGTTTGACAGCCACCCCCGAGCCCTCGCGCGCACTGCTTGAGTGGGACAGGATCATTGACTGGAACTGGAGCGAAATGAAGGCTGTGCTCAACACCAACCTGGTCACACGCAAGCAGGCTTCACTGGTGTGGCGAATCGCACACCAAACCGAGTGGACGGGAGAGCAACAGCTTAGAGCCGACATCGAGAAGGGCAAAACCAAGCAGGAGACCTTGATGCAGAGAGCGTTAGGCACTTACGCTTGCCCGCACTGCCGACGAGGAAACGCTCGCCCCACCGAGACTTGGATCCACCTGATTTACGAATGCCCGGTAGCTGAACACATCTGGCTGAGAGTCGAGCAAGTTATGGTTGTCGCACACGATCTTGGCACGCCGTCCTCGGCAGCCCATGCACTCTTCGGACCTGTCCACAACCCCACACTGCCACGAGGATATCGACGCAACAGACCTGCTTTCAGATTGCTGATGACCCTCTACCACTTGGCGCGTTGGACCATTTGGCGACTTCGGTGCTTGGCGAAATTCGACAGTTTGGACGCGACACCAGAATTAGCGACCGCAATGTTCGATAAACTTGTTTCCAACAGAGCTTACGAGGACCTGACTTTGAGGAGGACAGAAGCGATGCAAATGTGGGGCGCGAGCGCCAAGGAAACGGCTACTGGAAAATTTGTCTTTGAACTTGAGCTTCACGATGCCGCGGCATCGGGGGCGTACTGAAGGGCCAGACTCAAATACGGGCCCATTTCGTTGAACTTTGCTTGAAAAGGGGGCTATTCTTTCATTAGTCTTCTGCGTTTGCTTTTGAGGTGTGAATCATTCTGATACACAATTTCACCTGAAAAAAAAAAAGTCCATCGTCTACGAGCGACGGAGCGACGAACGCTGGGCGTTTCACTCGGCGTCCAGCTCGGTGTCAGCGCAAGACCTGACAATTTGATCGCCGCCCTGCTCACTGCGAGGCTCCAGCGCGTACGGCCAATTGAGCACCTCATCGCTTGGAATGGCGCTGGCAGGGTACTGGACCGTTGTCTTGACTTCTACCCACTTGTCACGCTGCTTTTCGACTTCCATCGTCCACGTCACTTCCTCGTCGGCGTGCTGTTCCAAAAACTTTCACAGATCGCTCACACTCTTGAACACTTCGGCAGCTCGATGCTGGTCAATCATGTGAGCCATTGCACGTGCGTGTTCCAAGCTCGTGTGCTTCGGCGCGTGGAACTTACTCGCTATGCGATCAGCTGAGCTGAGGTTTGGGTCATAACTCCAAAAGACTGAACATGGAGTCAGTCACAGTCGACGTGCAACACAACATCGAGAAGTCGACTTACTGTTCGCGATGGCCTTAAACCCGGCAGTGAACTTGTCCATTCCGGCTCGATCCAACACGAACGATCGCGAATCGAGTTGTTGCGCATCGGGCTCGCTGTCCATTCGCGATGTTGTCAGCAGCGCCACGACAGCATTCTCTCGCTCCGCCTCGGGCAGTGCTGCTCTTGCCTTCCGCAGCAGCTTATTCTGATCCTCGTGCGACATTGGCGACTCGACTTGATGCAGCTTGCACTGCAGAGCAAGCGTGACTGGGACAAACTCTCCCTAAAGCATTATTGGGAAATGAGAGACCACCCAAACACTAATCTAATCCACCGCATGAGCCTTGTCTTACTTCTGGCGTTCTTTCATAGAAAGTGCTCCAACCGTCAATACCACGGCGACTCTCTTCGCAAAGAGTGACGCGTCCTGAATATGCCTTTCTGGTTGGAGCGGCCATCGGCGAAAAAGCAACTTTGCTCCAAACCTGGGCATCAACGAACAGATTTGGAGTGGACGAGCCCGAGACTGCGCCCGGGAAGATACTGTCGACCGACACGTACTGCGCGTTGGAATTGACCTGAAGTGCTTTGGTGACGAGCAGCAAAATCCGCAGATTTAAAATCGCGACACAGAAATATTCCCAGCCTTGCCACTTTGTTGGCAGCTCGGCTTCGAGCTGGTGAAGCACTCGGCGCATGTCATCAACAATGTCAATAGGTTGAATGCGTCCTGTGGAAGCAAAGAATCATAGATACCGGTCAGCTCAGCACATGCATGAATCGCCTGTGTAGGAGCAAACAAGTCCATACCGTCGTACAACTGGATCAGCGTAACACGCGGAAACAAAAGGAGGCGGTCAGTTTCACGTGCTTTGAAAAGCACACCAATAGACACGAGCTCGTTCTCCTGGATCAATGTATCAGCAGCAGGGTTATTGTCGAAAAGGCACGATTCCATGAGGTCGACAAAACGCGAATGCGAGAGGTGGGTCAACCCGAGCGTGTCGGGGTTGTCGGGCATGCATAGCGCAATGACAGATCGAGGCAAACCAGCCACACGTTGAACGGAGCGCATCAAATGTGCATTGTGTCGCCAGGGGCCAAGCACGGGCTTGTTCGCATCGCGAAAACCCATGTAGATTTTATCAAGCAATTCTGCGGTGCCAGAACCCGACAATGGAGCAATGGGAACCGACGCAACAGTCATGAGTGAATCCTCAGCGAGCACATTCGTAATCGCAGCGGCCAGTTGGCTGGATTTGGTGCCAGCGAGCAACAGCCAAGTGGGGGTCGCGGAGCCAATACACAAACGCTGAAGCGAACCCAAAGCTTGCTTCCAGAATCGTCGGGCAAGTCGAATGTCCGCCGATTTCTTGTCTTCTCCCATTGCGGCTTGAAGGGTCTTGTGATCCGCCAACTGATACTTGGGATCCACACGCGCGTTGAGGAGGCGAGTGGCTTCGTCAATTGCAATAAAAATATGAAGCTCTGCCGGATCAATGTTGAGTTTCTTCGATTCTGTTGCGCGGATTAGCGCCATAGCGGCCGACACGGAGATGTTGGCCGAGATGTCCAGCGTAGGGCGCGCAAAGTAGCTACCCAAAAGTCTCTTGGCGATCGCGTGCTCGGGGTGACGTTGCTCCTCGCTTTCTGCAACCCAGGTTGTGCCACCGGTGCCGTTGAAGGTCAAGAAGAGGGAGAGGTAGTGGGCCTTGGGGAATTCATCTTGTGCTGCACACGCTTTGGGCACGATGGACTGGAGTGTCTCCAGACACATACGGGTCTTGCCACAACCAGGAAGGGTTGCAAGAAGTGCAAATGGAAACGCGGTTCGGTCACTCAAGTTTTCTCGAAGAGAGCGACGAAACTGGGCCATTTGCGCTTGTAAGGACTTGATAGTGTCCTCACGATCGACAAGTTGAAACTTGTGTGAAGCCCGTGCCCGAGTCTGCATACATTTTAGCACTCTGACAGTCAGCATCCGCAGAAGAATCCACAATGGACTTTCACACTCCACCCAGCTTACAATGGTCGTCTCCGGAGCAGGACTCAAGTCTGGGTACTTTTCACGAAGTAGTTTGTCAAGCACGTCCGCCTCAGTAATCAGCGCTGAGGGATCTACATCACCCAATCCCCAATCAACAAGAATAGTGAACACACACACACACACACACACACACACACACACACACACACACACACACACACACACACACACACACACACACACACACACACACACACACACACACACACACACACACACACACACACACACACACACACACACACACACACACACACACACACACACACACACACACACACACACATGTGAGCTCTTACCTTGCTCTTTGCGCCACTGTTGAATCCCATTCGACCACGGACCTGGCCATATCGCGCGCCGTAGAATTTTCCAAGTAATCGCGTGGGATCTCATCGATACGACCTGCGCATCGTGACTCGATACTTTCCTGGACGACATCCTTGAAACGGCTCAGCTCGCCTTCCACAGCCGTGAGTTTGTCCTCGTTGAAATCGTCGTACTCAGACAGTTCCCTGAGGAGATAACGGCGAAGGCCAGCACTCCTCCAGATCAACCCTGTTGTCACGCCGGTTCAAAGTCAGTCGACAACACAACTCTTCACTCCAAAGCAGTGGACGAATCGTACCGAAAGGCTTGCGGAGACGCTCGGGTAGCTTCTCGATCATCTCAGCCTCCTGTCGTTCGAGCAGAAAAGCAACAATCAGTTCCGATCCGATCGTTCATTTAGAAACCCAGCATGTGGATACTGACTGAAGGGGGAGCTGCCTGGCTGCTGCTGCTGCTGCTGCTTGCACCCTGTTCGAGCAGAACTTGTGAGTTTTCACAAGTACCAAATCGAACCTGCTCTTTGTTTGTTTGTTTTCACTCACATTGCCAGCATCGGTGTCCATTGGCGTCACATTTTCGCCGCTGCTGTTGCGGTTGCTGCTGTTCGCTTGACGAGCACTCTGTTTGAGCATCACGAGTCAGTTTCCACGCACCAAACAAAACTTGCCAATTGCCTTTCACTCACAGAGATGGCTTGGGTGGCGGACGCGGCCTTTTGTAAGACAGCAGTTGATTTGGCCTTCCGTTGCTGAGGAGTTGTCACTCGAGCACGCTGCTGGGAAGCGACGCGGGATGAGTTGTCAATGGAGACATCCTGTGGCAGTACAAGGTTAGAACTCAAAACTGAACAATGCCTCCTGTCATCGTCCGCGGTCAAAGCATGGCACTGCAGTGGTGAAAATTTCAAGTGCATGCACAAAAAAAAAAAAAAAAAAAAATGCGTCCATTGCGGGCGAAGTTTGCTCCTCGCCACTCTCGCCCCCACTCCCCGGCACCACAGAACCAGTTCTTTCAAAGGAGCTTGTGTAGAAGACGAGAGGGGAACACCGGAGGCCAGGACGACGACTCAAGAGCCGCATGTGAAGCAACAAAAAGCAAAAAAAAAAAAAAAAAAAAAAGCACGCTTGTTGCACAATGCTGCTGCCCACGCTCATGGGCCGAGTCGACAGGGCGGCGGCTCGGTCGCACGGCGCGAAGAGAGTGGTGAGAGTGTTCAAGAAGAGCGACACCGAGGCAGTTGGGAAGAAGGCACGCGACAAAAAGCCAGGGGGGGGGGAAGGGAGAGCAAAAAGAAAAAAAAAATCAAACCCAATGACAGACAATGACGGACAATGACGGACAATGACAGACAATGACAGGCAATGACAGGCAGGTCTCGGTCCACTTACGGTTCTGGCACGCTTGGATTGACCTTCGGAAGGGTCCTCTGCTTGACGCTTTGAAGGAGTCACGGAAGGAGCCACGGGGCGCGCGTGTCTGTTCTTCTTCTTCCCCATTGAAAAAAAAAAAACAAAAGACTGATTCAACCTGTCAAAGTGATTTTCGACATCGTGTCGTTTATGGTGAGTTTAGCTCTTTTATGAAGCTTCATCATGGCAGAAGACGCTGTGTTGAGATGCTATCTTGCTGATGTCTTCGTTTTTCTTTTGTTTTTCTTTCAGTCGTGAGTTTTGGTTTTGACTTCAAACTGCAAGCTGAAATCGAGCTCCCAGGCTGCGCTCTGTGCTCTCCTACTTTCTCGATAAATCACGCAATGACCTCGCATCAATAACCATGGTGGTATTGGTGGGTAGGGGGTGAAAGGGGCGCCCAGTGCAGCAGTGATCGCAATGTTGTCGTCTTTTTGTCTTTTTTTCCTTGTTTTTTTTTTTTTTTTTTTGCGTTACTGTGCTGTTTATGGTCATGCTTTTTACAAGAAGGAAAATAAAAAATCAATCGAGAAAAAGACGGCCATTCAACCCACCAAAGAAAAAAAAAAAGGGAAAAGAAGAAAAAAAGGAAAGAAGAAAAAAGCAACAGAAGAAACGCGGTGTCACAACACAAGACGACTCGCTCTCCGCTCCCTCCCCCTTCAATACGCATGACAGATAGATGAAGCGCGTTGCACCACACGCAAAACGCAAACGCCGACACCGGAATACGGCGATCAGGCGGCGAGATTGGAGTTGAAAAAAAAAAAGAAAAAGAAAAAAATCAAGCAACAGAAGAAACGCGGTGTCCGCACTACTCACTCTCCGCTCCCTCTCCCTTCAATACGCATGGCAAATGGATGAAGCGCGTTGCACCACACGAAAAACGCAAACGCCGACACCGGAATACGGCGATCAGGCGGAGAGATTGGAGTTGAAAAAAAAAAAACTAAAAAAACTTAAAGACCGCCGCCAAAGCAATCAAGAGCGAGCGAGATGGTTACGAGAGAGAGCGAGAGCGAGAGACGGATGGGAATGCGTTCGATGAGATGAGAAAGAGAGAAAGAGAGAGGGAGAGAGAGAGAAAGAGTGAGAGAGAAAGAGAGAGCAAGACAGAGTGCGGTCTTACAGCGGGTAGCGAACAGGCAACAAAAAAAAAAAAAGAGAGAGAGAGAGAGAGAGAGAGAGAGAGTGAGCATAAATAGAGCACAAATCATAATAAGAGGGGGAGAAAAATGCCGACCGCGTGATTGTTCGCCGTCAACGGGCTGACTTACCTCCATTCATTCATTCTGTCGGCTGATAAGTTTGACATTGCGTGGGTTGAGGGGGACGCACTACCCGAACTGGTTTGGGGAGGGGGGTTGTTGTTCGTCCACCGCGTCGCGCATGGATGTCCTCGTCCTCTTGGTGTTGCTCTGTAGCATGGGGCGGCAGCCGAGATCGGCAGCAACCGAGATCGGCAGCAACCATGACCAAGTGGCGTCTCATGGTGAGGACAATCCTCACAAGTCGCACCCATCCACAGTGCGATCGCACCATGCACTCTCAAACACGCATACACGTACGCACACGACGATCGTGTGTGCTGGTCTGCTGCTTGGGGCTGAGCGACGGCGGCGTCGTTTGAAGCGGCTTTGTCATTTCATCTTGATTTTTATTTTATTATTTTGACAGCTCCTCCATTTGAGCACTCTGTTGAGGAGGGCGGCATGAAATTCCGTCAAAAACCGCTCCTGTAGCACCGATTGGACCTTGCTGTGCCCATCAAATCGATGGCGATGAACGTTGGTGCTGAGGAGGGAAATCGATCAAATGCATCCAAATCCAGCCATTCGTCCGCCAAAAGACATTCATCCTTGCCCTCGAGCTCCACGATGCCACGTCGTCAGAGTCGTGCACAAGGGCCTGATTCAACAACAAGTGCACTGCTCTGAAGTGTGCAAGCAAGGACTCTTTCCACTCGTCTCCCCTTGCGTGGGTGCAACTGCTGAGCATCGTTGAAATCCTTCAAGTCTGGTCTTTTGCTCAATGACCCTTTGAGTGATGGTTTTGCAGTTGTTCTTCGTTCCTTTGATTTAGATCTACTCTTCATTTTTCTTTTCTTTTATTCTCTTCATTCCTCGCAATGGCATTGCAGCAGCGCAGTTTCGCCGCGTTCGCAGCAGTCGCAGCACTGCTTGCATTGAGCATTGCCGTCCTCAGCGCTCACGGTGCGTTTTGTTGTGGCACACTTCATCTCCTCCTCCTCCTCCTGCTGCGTCTTTATTCTGCTTCTTTCTGTCTTTCTCTTGCCTTGATCGATGCGCGTCATTTGTGCTCTTGGAGTGGCGCCAGACGACCGTGCTCTCTTCGTCTCTCCCTCCTCTTCACTCTCTCTCTCACTCTCACACACACACTCTCTCTCTCTCACTCTCTCACTCGCTCTCACTTTCTCTCGCTGCTTGCTACACGTCGCATGTTTTCACTCCCCACACCACGAACGCGCGTCATCGCTGTGTGTGCCTCCTGAGCCTGAGCCTCACTCATGATACCTGCCAATGGAGACCGACTGTGATCCTCTCTCCCATCAGCTTTACCCCAATGTCACGTCACTCACTTGACTTGCTCTCGATCATAGTGTCGCTCTGATTCACAGTTTGACCAGTCGCACACAGCGGCTCAGGTGTTTGCCACGTCAAGTCGGAAGCGGCTGCTGGCTGGTCTCGCATTGCCGCATCGACCTCGCATCGCAACTCGCTCATGCCTGCAGACCAGAACAGCCTCGACCGACGTGCTGTCGAGTTTGACTTTGCTTCCAATGCATTCATCTCGGTTATCTTTGCCATCAAGCAGCGCAACACGGACGCACTCGCCTCCAAGCTCAAGGCGGTCTCCGACCCTGCCAGCGAGGACTATGGTACAGTACCGTCCACCATGCGCATTCTAGACCGCAGGCATGGTCAAACTTTTTTTTTGTTTCAAACCGATGTGTATTTGTCTTTAACAGTACTCACACCCAACAAAAGTTCGCTGAGATGCGCCGCTGGAATCGTCAAACTTTTGCAGCCCAGATTTGATGTCTGGGGTGCTAACAACATTTTGGTCGTCACTGAGGACGAGAATCATCTTTTGGAGAGTCGAGTCGGGCTCGATTGCGAGTGCGTTGCCCCAGAGCTTATGGAAGCCTGGGCTTGTCTTGAGTTCATGGTCAAACCTGATCGTTTGTTCGCCACGCTCGACTCCTTGTTGCTCTTTGACTCATCATAGGCAAGTACATGACGCGTTGAAGACTTGGCCAAGTTTGTCGACAGCGAGCCAGACGCTGCCAATAACACTGTCCTCTCGCTCATCCTCCGAGACGTCGCCTACCGCATGCCGACTGCCAACAACTATGTCATTGTGGACAAGATGCCTCTCGTAGTCGCGTCAGAGCTCTTCATGTGCAAATTAAAGGTCGTTCTCTCTCTCTCCCTCTCTCGCCAAGCACTTTGCTGAGTGACCAAAAAAAACAAACCCGTTTTCGTTCAATTCCTCAATGTGGCAGAGCTCACGTCAAGAGAAGCGAGACAATCGAAAGAGAACAGTGGAGTTGCTCCTTTGGTTGAGTTTGATGATGCGTTTTGGCTCACGGTTGCTGCCGGAAGGGGATGGAGAGAAAAAAAGCACAAAACAACCAAAAAACTATTAAAAAAAAACAAGTGGTCGTCAATCAAATCAGCTTACTTCATTCGCAATGAGATTTTTGGCGTTGGCTGGTCTGGGTTCGACTCTGTGGGCCGGCATCATGGCTGATATTGTGCTTTTTACTCTGAAAGAGGCACAAGGTTTGCAAGTCTGACTCATTTTAAACTTTTTCTCTTTCTTTTTTTCTTTTTGCTTTTTTTTGTTTCCTTTCAGCATCCACCTGCTGCTCTGCAGATGCTTGAAGACACTCAGATGAATGCGAGCACAACCAGACCTCTCAAAAACTTGAACTCTTCCAATGAAAAAGCCTTAACAATGTCTGTATTCACGGATGAGACAACAATCGTAGAGCCAACAACCAAACGAGGCAGTCAACAACCACAACAACCAAATCATGCAGACAATGCAAGATTGGCACGGGCAGGCTGCGAGGCAAGCTGAGCGCGCAGCAAGGCATTCTCTTGCTCCAAAAGCCGGACCCGTTCGTGGAGCGCCTGCATCTCGGTGTCGCGTCTTCGCCGCAGGGTGTTGGCGGCCTGGCAGTTCTTGACGCGCCGACGCATGCCCTTGACCTGGGCAAGCACGTCCGCGGACAAGCGCAGCTGCTTGTACAGCTGGTTGCGCTCGCGAGTGCCCATGTTCTCCAAGTCGCCGGGCGTCAGCTTGTCGAGCTGGGCTGCCGCTGCGCGATCGCTGACATGCGACCGCAGCAGCGCCAAGACCGAGGCGGACGACGACATGCCATGGCGCAGGTTGAGGCCAGAGGTTGCCACGACGGGCACCTTTGATCCTGCTGGCAGCGACTGTTTCAGCGACTGTTTGGCAGAAGTGCGGAGCTTTGCAGCGGCACCATTCTCGAGCGGCTTGACGCTTGTCATGGCACCAGTCGCTTGGGGGAGGGGCACCTTGGCTGCATCTTCTTGAGCGCCAAAGTCAAAGAGCTCGCTCGCTGTGATGACTGAGGCCAGCTGGTCAAAGTCCTCGGGACTAAAGCAGGCGTCCCACGGCGTTGCCAGCGGCGAAGCGTCGTCGTCGTCGTCGTTGTCCAGCAGCTCTTCCTCGTCGTCCTC